CGAGCTCCATCTCCGTGGCAGGATATATTGGATTACTAAATCTTATTTAACGTAAATCCCGGTAGCAGCCAAACACCGCCGAAGCATTCACATAAATGAGTATGAGGTAAACTTTAATTAGTTTTTTATTTCAATTATAAAAATCAAAATTTTTATGATTCTAAAAAACTTAAAAAAGTAATTGATTTAATTAAAGATAAATTGATACTTAGAAAATAAATCTAAAATTCAAATGAGATAGAATAATTTAATTAATTGAAATTTTTTATAAGTAAAATATTAAAATATTATTTTTGCTGAGACACATAATTAACTGATGTCGGAGTTAACCCAAACCATAACATATATACAAATATTATTACTTGAAGCAACCGAGCAGTTCAATCAACACACTAGAAAGAAAAAATATAACAACACGACAACCAAAAATTGGAAATATCAACAGAAATGATACAACCAATCAAACTATGGTGGGATCTTGGAATAGTGGTAGTGATCGACAAGGGTTTGGCCCTCCGAAGAGGTAGTAATGAGTGGGTGAAGCTTGGAAGGCACAACAACAACCAAGAGTGTGGACGATGGCATCAAAGAGTAGTTGCGGCAAGGGCAACAAGTTGAAAGGAGGAATGAATTGTTGATGGTTGGAACAATAGGAAACAACAGAAAAAAACTATTTTCGGGTGGCTGCAAAGATAGGGGATGTTGGTGGAAGCGACAGGAGAAGCTGGAAATTGCAGGACAGCAAGATGACAATTGTCCAGGGTAGCGATAACAAGGACAGGTCTGGAATGAGGAAACTGCGGGGAAAACAACAAGGTGCAACGTTTTGGGGGAGGCTGCAACAATGGAGCGCGGTCCAGAGCGACGTAGAGATGATGTGAAAAGGGATAGGGAAGATAAACACCACCTCGGGAGAGAGATACAACCATAGCACCACTCAAACCCTAGGATATAGCTTTCAAAGGGAGAAATAGAAAACAATGATTGTCCCGACAGAAATTTGAGCCAAAACTGAATTTCAAACCCTAATACAACACATATAGGAAATAAATAAATAGAAATGAAGGATAATATAACCATGGATGTGGTACTGTAGCTACTGTAGCAGCTATAGTACCACATCCAAACTAAGCTCCGACGTCAATCTCCCAGAGTTAGCGAGAGCTTCAAACTCATCCGTCGAAGCTTCCGTCTCCTTATCATATGGTCTCAGGTCAACCACGTTGAAGGAGGCGAAAATTTTGTAATCTCCTGGTAAGTCAAACTTGTTAGCATTGGCATTCCAAAACACATCTTGATAGAATATGTATTCATTCTGTTTTGGCACAATCATAACTGGAACTACATGTAGATAAGTATCCTCACAAACCAAACAAAGTCTCGAACCATCAAATCTATAATTGGCACCTTCCACTCTTTATACTGATCCGAGTGTATTTGATAAATAAGTATGTAGGGAAAAATCAACTCTGGGACAAAATATATGGTAAGTTGGACCACAGTGAAGTATAACCACTTAGAATATGCCTCTTTTTGTTTTAAAGGACCTGAATCCCATTGTAGAATGTTCTTTCCAACAAGGCTCTTAAAGCAATTTCCAACATTGTGCTTCATCCATCATGTTTGATCAGTTGTCGACGAGTATACTGTTGAACTGAATTTAATACCACAATGACTCCTTATGGGCTTCCAGAAGAAACATAAAAGAGTTTCATCTACGACATATTGGACCTCCCTCAATAGAGGTAACTCAAAAAGTAGGTTAAATATCTGAAAAGTCTGAATTTCTCTTATCTGGAATTGCTTTGTCTGATATCAGCTCCTCAAACTCATATCTCTTCTGAACATCCAATACTAGTCATGTTGATTATTCTCTCATTGTTTGCAAAATAGTAGTTTTATGAACCATGATCTCCTACTCTACATGAATGCCTACTACCTTAGACTCACTATCTTCTAGAGCAATTATTATCAACTCAGTTGGAGTCTTTCCTGGGTTCAACTCAAATCGATGGCATCCCATCCTGAGGAGGATGTGGAAAGGAATAGGGAAAATAAAAATCACCTCGGGAGAAATATAACTGGAGCACTACCCAAACCCTCGGATACAACCCTCGAAGGGAGAAACGGGCCCCGGTGACAGTCTTGATAGAAATTCAAGCTAAAATTGAATTTCAAACCCTAATACAACACATATATAGGAAATGACTAAAAAAAGAATGAAGGCTAATAAGAAAAAAAACATAAGAAACGAAAACAGGATTGTTTCAGCCGACCTCTCACGATTGTTAAATCCTGCGGTAAGCTCCCACATCATTTACATTGTTAAATAATAATCTATTAAATATTAGAAAATTTATAGTAATTACTAAATTAAAAAAAAGAATATTAAATCAAAGTATGATATATCAAATAAGAAATTAGAGATTTAATTAGAGCTCACAAATACTTACGTAAAGGTAGAAACTAAATGAAAAAGTTTTATATGTTTAAGTAAAATAAAATTATAAGTAAATAATAAGAAAAATAATAATAAATGTAAATAGATAAAATAAAATAAAATAGTTATAACTGAAAATATAGTAAATATTATTATTTAACATTATTAATAAATAATATAGTAAATATTAGAAATTTATAGTAATTGATAAATAAAAAAAATGAATATAAAATCAAATATTAATACATCATTACGAAAATAAGAAATTAGAGTTCAAAATTAGTTAAGGTAGAAATTAATTGAATGAGATTTATATGTTTAAGTGCAATAAACATATAAATAGATAATAAGAGAAATACTAATAAATGTAAATAACTATAAAAAAATAAAATTGTTATAACTATATCATTGACATAAATGTAACGAAGAAGTAGATTAGATTGAATTTATAATAAATAAAGAAACAAAGAAAAAGAAATTTTAATACTTACAAAATTTTAATAAAAGCTTCAAGATTAATAATTTAATATGTTAGAGTTAAATTGAGAGATTAAAAATAAAATTAAAATAATATAATTAATATGAAAAAAAACATTAATGAAGAATATGTAACTACTATGATTAAAATTTATTAATATGAAAATTTTCTATATTATGAGTGTTAAAATCAAGGAGTTAGGATTAAGGAGCAAAGAGATGGAAAGTCAGTATATCGACATCGAGAAGATCACTCTTATTTCTAAATTATAGTAGTATTTTTGCTTCTTCTAAATCACTTAAATGAATAGTTATAGATGTTATTTAATTTAATTGCAAAATATTACCCGAACTCATCTACTTGTTAATATTATTGATCATATTGATATAAATGTTTATAGTTCTTCAACGAGATTATTTTTTATACATAATTATAAGATATTTATATTATATATTGAATAATATGAAAATTTGATGGGATTGTATGTGCAGGTTAACTAAAGAAAATTACCTCCTTATGATATTAATTTGGGAAACTAAAGTGATTGTATGCGTAGGTTAACTAATGGAATTTACCTCCTTATGATATTAACTTGGGAAACTTAATATTAAATCTGATATACCTTCATTGGTCCAATATAGATGGTGCTCCTGAGATGGACGTAAATATTATAGATAAAATAAAATAATTACTATACAATATAATGTTATAAATCTTTTTGAATGACCATAATCCAATAGTAACTATCAATTATTTTTAGACGAATTTATTTTAATTGACTAGTATACATATTATTTTATTGATCATTATGTTACTATAGTTTAGAATATGAAATATTCATTGACTTGTTGATAGCTCGTGTTATTTTATACCGAACGATTTCAGATTTAATCTTTGATTGAAGAATGAGAAATAGAAGGAGAATATTTATAAAAGAAAAATTCAATTCAAAAGTAAATTTATTTTAATCATTTTAATTAATTTTTGTTTCTTAGTGGCTCTGTTGATCTGTTTGGAAGATTATTTGTATTAATTAGTGATAAAAATTAAATTTCACAGCTCCGTTGTATGTTCCCATCCTCAAAATTCTAAAGGCCTCATGATAAATTGGTTATGTTAATATGATTGATTTGAAAGTTATCTCTTACAAAATCTATTAGCTCATTTGATTTACATAAAAAGGGCTAGGCTTGTCTTGAGGAATTGCTTATACAGTAATGTTTGTAGGTCATTATCCTAGCATGATATAAAATATAATATTCCACAAGCCAATAATCACAAAACTATAACATGCAGCCAAACTCTCAAGTCAATACCACTCACAAGACTGATCAAACAACTCCACACGGGAACCCAATATATGAGTTCCTCAAACTTTGGAGTGTGACTCCAAAAAATGCATGGCAACACAACTATCATTGGTTTTCATACCACTAATTTTAGGGAGTCAATCATGGGTCAAGAGATTCTGTACCTTTGCATGCGTTGAAAACCTATTCAACCAAAGATGTAGATGCACGCAATCACTAACTTATCATTAGCTAATTTTTTTCTTATAAAAATTGATGCGTGACTAAACCACTAGTCTAAAATGCATTAACTCTACAAAGGAATGACAGCAATAGGCGGCATATAAATTTTATTAAAAAAATACTAAAGTAATATTTTATAAACTAAGGTATCCGAAGAGGGGAGTATTAGTTTGGCTTATAATTCATCAAGATTTTTGGGTGAGAAAGAAAGGAATTGTAACCCAAATATCTATTCACCATGCAAATTAGGAATAAAATTGTTCCAATACTGAGGATCATGTTAATCCAAGACATCAATGTTAAATAAATAAGAATGAAAACCACCTTTAGTTCTTCTTTGTTTAGTCTAAAATATGCCACACTTTCTTTCTTTTAATTTAATTACCCAATGAATTGGCGATTCTTTCAAAATGGATTAATAAATCTGCTTAGTATCAACCAAAGTCGCAAGTCCATAAAAAAAGCAATCCTTTGATAGGGCCTGTTTCCTTTGAAGAAATAATATAGATGCACGAAGTGTAAGATAAGTGCTAAAAAAAAGACATCTTGCCTGTAAACAGGATCTAGAATTACTCCAGTTTCAGCTGCAACGTCTTTAACAAATTGAAGCTCCTCTGCATTACTGATGGCATAACCCAAGCCTTTTGCCTGAAAAAAAAAAATCGAAGGATTCATTGCCTTTATGATTCTTAACAACTTTGACATGGGACATATCTTAAGCTCCAAAATAATCCTCTCTATTCGTACACTGTTAATTTAGTTCCAAATTAATACTTTTTTTTAATTTAGTCTCTTGATCATACAAAATTGATCTAAAAATGATATCAAATTTGTATAGCCAAGAAACTATGGATCAATTTTAAACTCAATTTATACACGAGGGATCACTTTGTACAGTTGATCTACAAACTAAGAGAAATTTGATGCTTTGAGACTAAATTGACCACACATATATATATATATATATATAGAAAAAAAGCCCAAAGGAAAAACATATTAATATTGAAAAGATACAGAAAGGTTGTATGAGAGGCCTAAAAGAAAGCCCAACTCACACAATACAACGTACACAAAACCCAAATAAAGCAAAGATACATAAAGGTAAAAAACCAAAAGGCCACAAAATGACGCAAAAGTGCTCGGGACGTCCCGCTTTAGTTCTCCCTCTACCTCTAGTTCTTAGAAGTGAGTCGGCTAATAAATTGGAAGGGTGAGTACCATTGCTCGTAGTTACTACAGTATCATTCATCAAATTTCTAAGCTCAAGTAGGTCTCCATTCTTCTTCTTCCTCCTGGATGTGTAGACCTGTCATTCCTCACCGATGATTGACTCATCTGATCAGTAGGTTCCAAAGTTGGTCGGACAGGTGTAGGCTGTTGCACATCACGATCCCCATGAGCCTCAGTAACATTAACAGCTTGCTCGACCTGATGAAAAACTAGTAAAGTAGTAGAAGTATTGTCACCTGTATTATCGGTGATATCTAGAGCAGGTGGGGTCTGAAGACTCACCCTCTCCCCCACGATAGGAGATTCCAAAGACAAGGGAGCTACAATTGGGGACTGAATGGTTGTCATATTGCTCGCGAGAATCGTGAAATCATCCGAGATATTCTTTTGATGACCAATAGTGTCAATAACTTGGAGCTGATCAGAAGAAGATGAAATCGCTGCCTCTAGCGGAGCATTACGCTTTTTTGGTCTGAGTTGGGGTGTTAGATAGTGGCATTGAGAACTGGAATGACAGAACATACGACAATTTGAACAATACGAAGGAAAATGTTCAATCACTACCTTTTGCCAATATTCATGATGTTGTGTGCCCAACCAAATTTTCTCAGAGGCGGGTGTAGTGATGTCTCTTTCGACAAGTACCCTGGTTTCAAATGAACGGGAAATATTAAAAGTAGGAATGTCTGTTTTAAGTGACTTACCATAAGCTGAGACAATAGAGTACAACACTTTTTGAGTAAAATAATGAAATTTCAGACCAGGAAGACGAATCTAAAGTAAAATGATTTGTGGTTCTGTCTGTAGGTCAAAATCCACAAACAAATTCAGAATCTTCATTGTTGTTATCAATCTAGATTATCTTTCGAGCAAATAAACGCGTGTAATATTCTTCATTATTTAGTTGTATAACAATGTGTCTTCCATCTAAAAGTCCAATTTTTCACTCCCCAACAAGGTGCATAAGCTCAAACTCCTTACAAATCAGCTCCATTTTGGGATGGTCATACAGAAATTTCTCGACCAAATTCATTCTACAGGAGGAAGCAAGTTGAATACATTCAGCTTCTGTAAAAAAGATGGCAGACATCTCATTCTTCCTACCAAGTTTTTTGATGTCTTCCGCCCACTAAAATGAAGGAAAGAACATGATTTAGGCGCATCTGAGGCGTGGACACCCCCAAGTGCAGCAGCATATGATCTATCGGAAGCCATGGAGTTGCGGCTTAGCAGAGTAGAGAGCGGAAACCCGAAACAGGGAGCAGGGGAGCGGAAACCTATATATATATATATCTTTAGAAAAACCCAAGTACAAATATATTAAAAAAGGAAAGGTATATAGATAGATTGAAAGAAAGGGCCCAAATTGACACCCTAACCATCCGACATACAACACACAGGTAAGTCTCAGAAAGATACATGTATACCCCCAAAAAAAGGACAAGATTAAATGTAGACATATAAACTCTACGCCAAAATTCTGCCAAGACTCGCATATCCAAGAAACTTGAGAATGATCCAATTTAGCCTTGTCTCTTGTTATAGTACGGACATGTATAGGTTGTTGCACATCATGAGCCCCATGTGTCTGACTAACAGTAACAACTTGCTCGATCTGATGAGGCGGTAGAAACGCATTAGAAATACTGCCACCCATTACATCAGTGATAGGATCTAGGGTAAATGAAGTATGAAATGTCTCCTCTGCCCCACGAACAGAGGTTCCCTAAGAGGAATCAGGGGACCTACATCATGAGCATTGTGTGGAGACTGAGTGGTTGACAAATTGACTGAGGGAATAGTGACACCTTCAGGAGTATCCTTCCGATGATCAATAGTGTCAATAACTTAGAGCAGATCAGGAGGAGGGGGAATCTCTACCTCTAGCTTAGCACTTTGCTCCTTTGGCCTTAGATGAGGGTGTAGATGGTGACATTGAGAATTAGAGTGGCAGAACATATGATAATTCGAGCAATACGAAGGGAAAAGATCAATAACAACATTTTGCCAATATCATCGGTTTTGTAAGTCTAACCAAATTTCCTTAGGAGCGACTGAAGTGATATCCCTTTCAACAAGTACCCTGGCTTCAGAGGGACGTGAAAGATTAAAAGTACGAATATCTGTTTTGAGTAGTTTATCATAGGCTAAGGCAATAGAGTACAACACTTCTTGAGTAAAATAATAAAATTTCACGCCAGAGAGGCGAATCCAAACCGGAATGGTTGGTGGTTCCGTCTGTGGGTTAAAATCCGCCGACCATTTAAAAATTCTCATTACTATGTTATCAATCCAGATTAATCTTCTAGCAAATAAACGTGTGTAATCCTCCTCATTATTAAGTTGAAAAAGGATGTGTCGGTCATCTATAAGTCCAATTTTTCACTCCCCAAAAAGGTGCATAAGCTCAAATTCCTAACGAATAAGCTCCATTTTGGGATAGTCATAAAAGAATTTCCTGATCAAATTCAGACGACAGAAGGAAGCAAGCTGATTACATTCAACTTCAGTAAAAAAGATGGTCGCCTTCCCATTCTTCCTACCAGATTTTTTAATGTAACAAAATACGCCACCCTCCGCTAGAACAAAGGAAGGTGGGAAGAAGCACGATTTAGAAGTACCTGAGGCATGAACACCAGCAAGGTTAGCAACATGCGTTCTGTCTGAAGCCATCACAAGTAAGACAGCAAGGAAGGATGAGTGGAATCCCATTCTACTTCGAGCAGAGGACGAAAGGTGAAGACGCTGGAAAACGTCCTTCAACGAGCAGTCGAATTCGAAGTGGCGCGAACATTTCTTCTTCGAGCATGAGGAAGGACGAGACGACGAAACAGACGTCCGCGCCCGGAAATCATCCTTCAACAGCATACGAGAGATAAAGCACTAACAAGACGACGAGAGATGGCGCAGAGGAAGTCAAGGCGCGAACCCTTTCTTCAAGCACGATGATGAGGATTCACCGTAGCAGACGCTAATACATACATATATATATATATATATATATATATATATA